TGAAACCCTGGTGCAGCTGGGCTCGAATTCCCTCTCTTGGCTTTCTGCACAGGGTTAAGGTGGGCTTGGGGCTGCTCCTGCTCTGCTTCTTTTGTAAATGGGCTGCCCCTACCTTAGGCAGCTCTAGGAGAGTCTCTGCTTTTAGGATGACTGTGGTCACTGTAACACCACGCTTTGTCACCGGGTCCTGTGTTCAGAAGCCCTGGGGCACAGATCATACGGGTTTTCCTGACAGAAGGAAGAACTTTAAAAGTTTTCACCTGAACTATTTTAAACTGTCTGTTATCAGAGCAGGTTCAAAGCCAGGTGCATGTCAGATCCTCCTGCCCTCTGCGCTTGCTGCAGTATTAAATGTCATTGCTCACTAAAGCAAGCTTTGAACTGCAGCTCTTTTTAATCAAGCTCTGTTTTCAAGTAGGACTTTCTGGTTTCCATATGACCTGAAGTGCTCCTCCTGGGGGAATATGCAAGTACCTGGAGCTGTATAAAACCACTTCATGGCTTTTAAAGCAAAACCCTGCACCTCTCAAACCTGAGCACTGCCACTGTGTCCTTGCTGAGCTGCCTGGAGAGAATCTGGAGAGACTGTTCATCTTCTCTCCAGCTTGATCTTAAACAGACATTGGCAGCCCCTGCTAGTGAGTTTAAACTTCCAAGTGCTCCTGGGAATCTGATGTGGCATCTTCAGTACCAAATTAAGAAGGTATTTTACAGGTATCTGGTGCTGGTGTCTCGTTTAGGAAGCAGTAGTTTGGAGGGCAGATTCATGGGGCAGCTGAGCTGGGAGCCCCCTGCGTGGGAGCTGGACAGAGCTGGAGGGAGAACTCAGTGCTGATGAAATGAGCCTTTGGAAACTGGAGAGGATGAGGGGGCTGTTCCTCTGCACACATGTGGGTTAATGGAGAGGCTGAGGGTTGTCTGCCCTGAGCTGCCCATGCATTGCAAGGCCCTTGGCTCAGCCCCTGCCCTCCACATGCCTATTTCAGTCTCTTGCCTTCACATTTCATTGCAGCCAAGCAACAGGGTTCTCTGTTATTTCATCTCCTTTCACTCTGCCTTCCCTTCTCAGGAGGGAGGGAGTCCAGCCTGGCACCCTCTTTCCTGCCATCTCTTACATTTAAAGATGTGCCTTTTCTTCCTTGGCCGTGTGTCCCTCTCTCCTCCCCAACAATATGTGACAGTGACTTCTGAGGGGCTGCACCTTCAAGTGCTGCTTGGATCCAGGTTTTGGATGCAATGGGGTGCTGAGGGCTTGTGTTCCAGCCCCAGCCTTTGCTGTGGTAGCTTACTGGGAAGGACTGTGCTCCCCAAGGAGCATGAGTGCTTCTCAAATAAATAACCATGAATTCCTAGACGCCTGCTGTCCTTGCACAGCAGCAAAACAAATATATCCGAGGAATTGGGGTGATTAACAGAAAGAAGCTCTACAGCAGAGAACATTTTTCATATAAAACATGACATAGCAATGCCTTAAAAATTACTGGAGAAAGCAGGAAGGGGATGGTTCAGTGCAGCCAGCACTGGCTGGGGGGGGGATGCTGGGTGACCCCATGGTGCAGGGCATAAGCTCTCTCCTCTCACTCATCATGAATAAGTCTATTTTTATTTGGCCATTATCAGCACTAACAATTCATTATTGCAGATTCGCACATGATACTTTGTCCTAACTGTAATTAGTTTTTTTAAAAATGGGATTAAAACCAATAAAATGCACATTATACATCTGGTTTAGTCTGACTTCTTTTTCCATCCTTTTCTTCCTCGTGCTTAAGCATGGAGCAACTATTCCTGGAGGGAATGGCTGTGATGGATGGGGCTGCAGGCCAAGGAGAAATGGCAAGTGAAGAGGCTAATGGAGACCCTTGCCTCTTCTCTATTAGCCTCCTGCAACTCTGGGTGCTGGCTGCAAACTCAATGAAAACATCTGTACTTTCCCCTTCTCAATTACGGCTCCTTACACTTAAAGCCAAACAAATTGAATTGCTCTGCTGCCTCAGGCTGCAAAGGCAGTTTCTGCCAGCAAATTTATTATCACCATAAAGCGCAGCTTGATTTATGTTAAAATATTAAAGCAGATCTTTATGATGGAAATAAACACTTTCTGCTGTGATTCTCTCAAAGTACCTCACAAGCAGCAGCAGATTTTGGGGCTTGGGCTGTAAATCTGAGGCCAAACTGGCATTGGGGAGAAATTCAGTCTGTTGCAGCACTTGGAAGAGCAATGGCCAGGGAAAAAAAAACTTTGAACCTGAGAAGAAGCTTTAGGCAAAGCTTCACCACCATCAAGGAGCCGCATGTCCCTGAAGGGATTCAGCTGTTTGAAGGTTTGAGGAATGTGCTCAGCAGCCTTTCCCCTGGGTGGATTTGGGCAGCCTGGGAGCTGTCAGTGGCTCAGGGAAGGACCTGCTGCAGGGTCTCAGCTGGGGAAGGTTTTGTGCCATGGCTTTGCCTTGGCAGGAGGCAGGAACCAGGAGGTGGCTGCACCTGCTGCTCCCTCAGGCATCCTTGAGCATGTCAACTGTCCCCAGAACCTTCTTGGCCCTGTATATGTCCTGATTTGTGATTTAACCAGTTCCCCCTGCCCTAACCTGAGTCACCATCTCCCCACAGCAACACCAGCATGTCCTTGCCCACTGGAACCCCTTCCCAGTGGCTGACCTGTGCTGGCCTGCTTTGCTCCCCGTCTCCTCATCAGGATGGGTCTTACAATGCTGAGCAATGGGGCAGTGAAAACAGGACCTGCTGTGGAGATGGCAGAGGTGGGAGGTGGGTCTGGGGGAACACTGCCTGCCCCCAGCAGTGGGGTTGAGCCACAGAGGTGGGTGCCCAGCAGTGGTTCAACTTTATTTCTCTCTGCTTAGCAGCACACAGCCTCCCAGGGTGTCCCAGGTGCCAGAGCAGGCTGAATTAAAAAGTGATTGATTAGACAATTTCACCAAAAAGAAATAATATCCCTCAATGTCTGTTAAACACTACCCAGCCCCTCTTTGGAAAGCCTAGCCAGAGGGTGCTTCCAGACTGCTGCTTCCCAGAAGGTTTGTCCCTGGTGTACCCAGAAGCAGAGAAATGCTGCAGAAGCAGCTCAGTCCTTCCTTGGTCCTTGAGGGTCACAGATCCCAGTCCCTGGACTGGTCATGCCTCCTTTCCCACCAGTGCCCAGTGCCTAGCACCAGGAAAAGGAGCAAAACTGTGTTTTTCCATCCCAACTGGCATGTAAAGATGGTTATGCAAATGGTGGTCAGGGACCTGGGCATTCACATGGGGCACCCAGAATAGCTCTGGCCTCACACTGGGTGCTGACACCCAACCCTGGAGTCACTTCCCCTGGGAGCATCCCCTACACCCCATTTGCCCTGTCCCTTGATGTCCTCAGCCTCCTGCAGCAAAGCCCTTCTATAAAACATGAAGCAGCTCCATTTGGCCTCTGCTGAGTCACCAGAGACATCACTAATTAATTTAAAACGTGGGTTGGGGATTTTTGATACTTATTTTTTTCCCTTTTCTGCTCCCCTTTGCTGTCACAGCCCCAACCTCAGCTCAGGTTTGACTGCCTCTGTGTGTGCTGGCTTCCTCGAGCCAGAGAGCCACAATTTCAGGGAAGGTTCCCAGGGCCACACTGAATATTCCTGGGGACCAGCCTGTCACTCCAGGGGCATCTGAGGCACTCAGCTGGGAAGAGCTGCCCCAGATGAATGGGTGCCATCACCTGTGGCAGCCTGGATCATACCCTCCTCTTCAACCGGATTTATTTATATATGAGTTTTATTTATGGACCAGCACCTCCCACCCTTGCCAGGAGGCTTGGAGGGGCTGCCAAAGACATTATGAGACAATTGCTATGATAAATAAGTAAAGGGAATTAAAGCGCCGGCACCAGTGTGTGTGATGGCAGCCAGGCTGGGGGATGGGGCAACGGGCTGGATTTAACCCCAGACAGATGGGTGGGTTGATGGGCAGATGGATGGACAGCGAGATATTGCCAGTGCTTTGGAGCCTGGACCACACATGGCCGGGCCCTTCTGGACCACCCTGGGGTTTTGCAGCCATCCCTGGGGCAGGGCTGGGTGTCCTGGAGCTGTCCCTGCCATCGTCCCCTCGCTGTTACTGGCCCCGGCTGCTTGGGGGCTGCCGTCAACCCCCAACAACTGCATTTTAATAGGGGGGAGAAAAAATAAATAAGAAAAGAGCTCTAGAGCAGCTTCCCGGGGAGATGTTCACGGAGGAAGGCGATGCCAAGCCAGCTGGGAGAGGGTTGGCATTTCCCTGGGACAGTCTGCCAGTCGGTCACGGGCAGCTCTGTGTAGTCCTGATGGTTCTGCTCTGGGATGGGGCTGGAACTTCCCGGCAAAGCCCTGGCTGCAGCCCGGGGCCCCGGAGCCCCAATTCCCATTCCCCAAAGGCCCTCTCCCCTGCCCGAGGCTGCTGTGAGTCACGGCCGCCTCTGCTCCTCCCCAGCCTGGCAGGGAAAGGGCTGTGAGAGACGTACATGAAAAGAAGAATTAAACCCGGCTCATCTATCACACCTGATTTATGGCTCCGTCAGCCTGGGAAGGTGGGAGGAATTTTTCCCTTTCTCATTCCCCACAGCACACCTTCCCGGGGTTGCTGTGCTGAGCTGAGATCCCGCCAGGCTGCGGTTTGCAGCCGCGACAGCATCACTCACTGACCCGAGCCCAGGGTCTCAGTGCCCAGCACCCCAAAGCCTGAGCAGGGGCATGGACCCCAGCCCCGGTGCTCGGCTCCAGTCTCTGCACAGGCTGACGGCTCCTAATTAACCCCTCAGAGCAGTTGCCGTTTTCCTTTTCCAGCTTTCCTTTGCCGGTGGGACGAGCCTGTGCCACGGCTCATCAGTAACGGGACAAGAACGGAGAGGGGATGCACGGGACCACGAATATTCATGGGAATCCATGATGCCAGGGGCAGCCTCGAAGGATGGAAGAAGGGTCCCCAGGCAGCTGAAAATGTCTTTTTAATGACCTGGACATGGCGTTTCGAGTCCTTTAAATGAAACCGAAACGTGACGGCAAAACGGCGGCGATGCATTTGGCGTCCCCGATGCCAGCCCCGCCTGTAGGAAGAACTCGACCCAGCATGTAGCAGCCCTTGCCAGGCTCCTCTGACTCCCCCTAAGAGCTCACCGAGAGCCGCTTGGAGCATCCCTCTGCGGGCGGTCAGGACCCCGGGAGGCCGGAGCCCGGCCGGGAGCCGCTGGCCGGGCAAAGGGCAGGCAGAGGGGTGCGGACACCCCCCTGTCCCCCGATCACACCTCCGNCTGTAGATGTCCGGTGGTGGGAGGTCCCTGGGGGTTGTAGGGGGCGGGAGGGGAGCCCCGACATGGTTCCCCACCAGCATCTGCTCCCTATAATCCCCTCCTGGAGCAGTCTTCACCAGGAGGTGGGGGAAACCCGTGAGGGCTTCATCCCCAACACAGTCACCCCGAAACTTCAGGGGGTGTAGCAGGTGGGGGTGCTCGTTTGCCTCTCTCCAGTTCTCCTCCCCGTGCAGACGGGACTTCACGGGGATGGGCTGGGGCAGCGGCAGCCCCAGGGGAGCGCCCTTGGCAGCGCAGGTTCTCCCCAGCCTCTCTGCGGGGCCGGGGGGCGGCCCCCGGTGTGCGCCGGTGCTGTTCTGCACCACGAGCTGGGGTGTCCTCAGGGAGAAGGTGGTCTGGAGGCGCTCGCTGTGGTTGCTCCAGTCCTCGATGGTGCGGGTGGCCTGCTCCAGTGAGCCGCCTACACTGGCCGTTGTCACCATCTCCTTGGCTGCCTGCAGCATTTTCAGCACGTTGGCCTGGGCTGAGCTGGCAGTGACATCGGGTGTGGGCACCCGCCCAGGGCTCGACATGGTCTGCACCCCATTGAAGCAGCTGTAGATGCCCTGTGGGGAGATATGGGAGCCACCCCATCGTCAGCAAGGTCAATGGGGTCCTGCCCCCGTGAGCCCACCCTGCTGAGCTGAATTCATGCTGCTGAGGCTGAGGTAGCTTCAGAGCACTGACACCCCCTCCCCAGCATCTCCAGCAGTTGTCATTGTGGGCGGCACCATCCTTTATCACTCCTTTCCCCAGGGATACTAATAAGGATGTGGGGTCATTCCCAGGACTGAGCCCCTTCCCCAGAACCTGGCTTTTCTCACCAAGACCTCACATCAACAAGAACATCTCCAGTCCTTCCCACGAAGGTCAAAGGACAATGCCCACCAAGCTGTGTCCATCCCTGTGACACCGTGTAAAGACATTTGGGCCCCTCAGAAGCCCCTGTGAGTATCCCTCACCCTGCTGATGGCCAGGAGGAAGTCAAGCTTGTGGGACTTGGGGACGGAGTGACGCAGCTTCCAGTAGACAAGGTGCTCCCAAGCAAAGACCAGCAGGCTCAGCCCCATGGCCACCAGGAGCATGTAGAAAACCCCAGCCATGTTGTCAATGTCCAGCTTGCTGCTCATCACCTCATTCTTCTCATTCTGGCAGATCCCTGACAGCCAAACCGTCTCCAGCTTCTGGGTCTCACCTGGAACATGCACAACAGTGCAGGGAGTGAAAATCCACCCCTGGGATTTTTTTGGGATCTTCCCAAGAGCATCCCTGCCCCTTTCCACCTTACTGTGGCTGGAGGAGGATAAAGAGACCCCTGAGCTTCTGGAGCTACAATCAGCTAATGCTTGCTGTTGCCATTGGCCTGAGCATCCCACCAGTCACTCGTCCCTCTCCACGGTCCTCTTCTGACTCTGTCCCCCACCCATGTGCCAGCCAGCCATGCTTACTGTCCTCTTCCCAGGCTTCTCCTCAAGACAATGTTGTGCACAGCCATCCCCAGGATTTTACAAGCCCAGAGGGAATAACACCCACAACATGCAACGGATTTCATATCCCCTGAAAGGAGCTGGTGAAGTCCCTCAGTGCCATCCTGCCATGAGGATGTCAGCCGTGAAGGCTGCACAGGGTCTGAGGACCAAAGTCCTGTCCCCTGGGTTAATCTGCAGGGCAGGGGTGGGGTGAGGATGGGGACAGGGCTAACAAGAAGCTCATGCAGGCACCCACCATCTCCCAGGAACTGGAGCAGGGCCAGGTCGATGGCCCGCTTCCAGTGCGAGTCCTTCTGCAGGGCGATGCCGTAGCCCGTGGTGGCAAACACCTTCCCGCTGCCGATGGTCACCAGCTTGCAGCCCTCGTCCTTGCCTGCCATGTAGTTGAGCACTGCTGCGTCGTAGATGAAGGCATCCAGCTTCCTGCTCCACCAACAGGAGGAAGGGTGAGGGGGGGTCTGAAAGCCTGGTTTTGGGGGGAGGACTGTGCCTATTTGGGGAGCTCTATCCCTTTCAGAAAGCTGTAGCCCATCTGGAGGAGATTCTACGTGTTCTTGGGGGTCTCTGACCCATCCTGGAGTGCTGTAACCACACTTGGAGGGGAAGTACCCTTTGAGGGGACTTGTGTACCACTTGGGGGAGCCATGCCCCATCTGGGGTGAGCTGCATCCCTTTTGAGTGGAGCTGTATGAAGCTGTACCCCATCTGCAGCAGGTTGTGCCCTGTTTGGGGGTCCTGTACTTCATCCAGGGAAGATGCACAGAGGCATACCCTGTCTGGGAGAGCTGTACCCAGCCTGGGTGTCTCACATCCAACTTCTGGGGGGTTGTACCCCAGTTAAGAAATCCCTTCTCCATCTGGAAAGTCCTATACCCCATTCCAGGGAGCCATAGTTGTTTGGGGGTGCTGTATGCCATTTGGAGGAGCTCTGAGAGCCATACCCCATCTGAGGGTTCACACCCCCTCTCAGGGAGCCATACCCCATTTTGAGGCTGGTGAGGGCATCCTCCACAGAGCGCTGGTTGTACTTCACCATGTGGGTGTGCATGTCGGGGTAGTTGCTGCGGATGTTCCTCTCGGTGCTGCCGTTGGGGACAGTGCCAAAGCGGAAAGGTGGGTACTGCTCCTGTGGCTTCTGGAACTGCAATGTGGAGCCCCAGGGGGTGGCATCACACAGTGCCCATGTCTTTCCATGTCCCCAGCATGTCCCCTCCCCACTGCCAGCCCTCTCTATTCATGCATTCATGCCCAGCCAACTGGCAGTGATGTGCAGCTCCACACACACCATTGCCAGTAACTTTAAGAGGTTATTTTTTTTAGGTATTTTTTAGGGTTCCCACCCCAGTGATCAGCCCCACCTTCCTGTCACTCAGCCCCGACACAGTGTCAATGTACTGCTCCTGGATCATGAAGGCAGCCAGGTTGGCCGTGTAGCTGGCGAGGAAGATGACGGCGAAGAAGGCCCAGATGAGCACCATGATCTTGCTAGTGGTGCCCTTGGGGTTCTCGATGGGGACTGAGTTGTTGAAGACCAGAGCCCACAGCAGCCACACAGACTTGCCAATGGTGAAGGAGGGACCTCCTGGCCCTGCAGGGACAGAGGGGAGAGTTGTCAGCCCAGCCAGGGACGTGTCCCCCTCTCCCACCTCCCATCTCCCACCTCCCCAACTCACTCTTGCCACTGGTGAGGTTCTGGTTGTAGCCAACAGGGCTGAAATACTCAAACACGAAGACGGTGATGGCCACCACAGTGAGGCACATGACAAACATCATGACCCACACAGCTGGGCTATAAGGCTCTGCAAAGCAAGCAGAACTTAGTGAGCCTCCAACAACAGCCCATGGTCCTCTGAGGACTGCCAGGAGCCCTCCTGGATGGATGGGGCTCATCCTGCATATTGCCCCTCCTTGGAGAGGAGTTGGAGGTTGGCAGCACCATGGCCAAGCAGTTCCACAGGGAAGGGAAGGGGGTTGCTGCAGAGCTGGGGGGTGCAGCCATGCTTCCCTGCCTAGACCAAACTGGGTTCTCACCAACAGGGAGGTGTTTACAAAATGCTGCTCATCTCCAGGGTCACTGCAGGAGGATTTCCCATGGGATCACAGGTTGTCCCCCGTGATGGTTCTGGCTACAGGACTGTGCCTGCATCAGGTACAGAACCAGCCCCCCAGCCCTGCTCAGCCCTGGGGAGAGCCCCCTGTGAGTGGGGACAGGCAATGAGCCCCTGCCTGCCCAAGATGATGAGGGATGGAGCAGCAGGAGCGCTGGGGATGCATCTGAGCCATCAACACGCGGCCGCCGAGGTCCATTTGTCAGCATGTCCTTCGCTGTCAGGGAGGAGAGGCCTCCCCTGACGGAGATGTGGCTCATTAGCACAGAGTCAGGAGACATGGGGACATGGGGACCTCAGACCCTGGCCCTGCAAAACCAGGGCAGGATGCTCCATTTGTCCCTGGGGCTGGTGAAGGTGACCCTGTTTCCATGGGAGTTTGGGCTCTGTGGTGTGGGGGGAACAGGACAAGGAGGATGTGCCCAGGCTGATGATCCCACCTTCCATGCATCCCTAGCACCCACCTGCATCCTCCCCACACAAGAGTGCAGCGCCAGCTGAGCTGGGACATTGCTGCTGTGCCCTTGCCGAGAGCCGGGAGCTCTGCCCGAGCTGAATTTCCTGACGACCTTGGCCAGTCTCCTCCCCTTCCTAGGCTGCAGCTTTGCTGGTGTAAAACTCATTAAATAAAACTTTTAGCACTGGTGGTTTCCTACACTTGGCTTAACCACTGGCTCTGGTGACAGTGGCAGAGATGGGTCCCCAAAGCAGAGCTCCAAGCTGGCAAATCCCCCCACGTCCCCATCCTCGCTCCTGCACACAAAAAATGAAGAGGAGAAAACCACTGAGCCCAGCCTCAGTCTCCAGCCTCCATCTCCATAATAAAAGGATTACTCAGGCAGGGGAGGAAGAAGCCCCAAAGCCGACAGCACAATCTCCTTCCCTTATGGCTTAGGCTTTTTTTTTTTTCTTGAAAGTTATTAAAACTGAACAATATTTCCAATTTGCATTTGTGGGAAGCATGGGATGAGCCTGCACAAAGACAGGGGGACACAGGGCTCACCCAGGAAAGCGGAGGGGGACACGGTGCCATTGCTCCGGGCCACCATGACGCTGATGCCTGTCTCCACAAAGGGCACAGAGAAATCCACAATCTCGGACCGCTCCTCATTGATGGTGAGGGAGCCGATGGCCATGTCTGCACGCTTGTAGTACACCTGGAAAAGGGGCAGGTGGGCTTGGGATGGGCACAGGGACAAGCAGAGGGACCCAGACCACTTTCCTCGGGCATTTCCTCATGTCCAGCATTTCCAGCTTGAACTTCTGTGTTTGTTTTTTTTTTTTAAAAAATAATAGCTTCCTAAGTGAGTAGTGGCACACCCCACCTGCTGTGGGGTTGTAAGTGTTCATCTGACTCCTCCTCTAAAGAGGAGCTCATGCCAAGCTGTCTCCTGCCCACAGTCCCACCACAGACCCCATCTTCACCAGGAAAGCCCCAGGTCGGGGGTGAGTGGTGCCCTCCAGGGAGTTTCAGAGCGGGGAGACCCCACTGAGCCATGCCCATCTGTACCTCACCAATCATGCCATTCCAGACCCCACGGACGATCTTGCCGTGTTTGCCATTGGTCACCAGGTAGAGGTCGTAGGAGAACTTCACTGCCTTGGCCAGCTTCTTCAGGATGTCGATGCAGAAACCTTTGCAGCACAGCTTGGTGTAGGGATCCACAAGGCCATTACCACTGGAAACACACCAGGAAAGATGGGCTGGACCAAACAGAGATGCTCTGAGCACCCCAGACATCACAAGCCAAAGGAGTGGTGGCGAGAATTGCCGAGCTCCATGTCCCTGCTCACCTGTGGGAGGAGTTGGTCTGCTTGCGGCAGGGCACGGTGTTGCGCACGCAGACGCCCGTGCTGGGGTCTGTGTTCTCCACAATCACAAAGGGTCTCTCCTCCAGGGTGGCCACTGTCAAGTGGCGGTTGTCGACCACGGGCTGCATGAAGGAGCCGTAGCGGGGCCACACCGGGTACTTCATGTGGATGATGCCTTTCTCCCACTTACCCACCTGACCCCAAGGGAGAGCACATGGTCACCCCAGTGAGGGGCTCTGGGGGTCACATGGCCATCCTCCCACCTTTGGGGCTTATTCCTGGTGAGCCCCATCTCAGCATCCCTTTCCCCACACACCCCTGGACCACTGGGTGAGGTGTTTCCTCCTGAGCCCCAAGCTTCACACTCAGGTGAGCACAAACCTGGCCAAACTTTACCCAAAATACCTTCAAACTACAAAAAAACCTTCCATACATCTTGTTTCAGATCTAGTTGCTTGCCTGCTGTTTTCCAGAGGTGGACATCTCCATTTCTGGCTTTTTTTTAACTTATCAACTAAACTGCAAGGGAAAACTGACAACTCTTGGCAGAGCTTTGCTGCTCATCATTGCTTCAAACCCCCACCATGGCACCATGGCTACTTTTGGGACCAGCCATGTAACTTTTGGGTTTTTGCATGGTACAACCCACCCCAGGGTGGGACCCCAGCTTGTGCATGGCCCCAGGCTCACCCTGCCCAGCCACCCCATGGTGTGCCCATCCCAGGGGGCCTGGGGGTCCTACCATCTCCCAGAGCCGGTGCTGGTTGAGCGTGATCACCACCATGGTGGGCCTGATCAGGTAGCCACCTTCATTGAAGGAGAAGTCCCGGTGCTCCCATGTCACATTGAGGAGGTGCCTGGTGGAACACAGAGCCTGTAAGCCCTGCTCCTCCTCCTCCTCCACCTTCACCCAGGCTGCCAAAGGTCCCATGGAGATGTGGGGCTGAGAGCTGGGGACCAGCTTTAGCCCCTATAGCTGGAGAAAGCTCTTCCAGCAAGGAGATACCTAGGATGATGGCTCACTGCAGGGCTGAGAACAGACAGACTGCCACAGCAACCCCAAGGTGCCACAGAGCTATGAAACACCACGGAGACCTCTGGGGGTCCTGAGCCAAAAAAAAACCATGGGAAAAGGCAAGGGAGATGCTGGGAGATCTCCGTGGAGATTCTCCAGGAGAATCTGAACAAAAAAGCGTGGACTACCCGCTGTAGCCCTCAGTGAACATCCCCCTTGCTGCCCACCTGCTCCATCCCCCTTCTCTCCTGCCCTCTCCCCTCTCCCCCCATTCCATACCCATCCCAGGGAATCCTTGAGACTCACCGGTAGAAGCTTGTGTTGGTGTTGGTGGCTCTGGTGGGGGTCCAGCAGTCCCGCCCTACCTCTGGGAGGTAGCCATGGGCACGGAAGAAGCTGGCTGCCCCCATGGCAATGATGGCCACGCCGTCTCGCACCTTTTGCCGCAGGCTGAGTTTCCAGCTCTCTGTCACCACACTGATGAGGCCGACAGGGAAGGAGGAGGGTGGCACCTCCATGTTGCCCACTGTCATGCTGGGCACAATCCAGACGTATCCTGGCCCCACAAGCCCAGCTTGTTCTGCCATGGAGAAGAGATACTCGGCTTCCTCTCGGGAGCAGTAAACAATGAGGACCTGGGCATCGATCTGGCGCAGGAGCCGCTGCGTCCTGGAGCTGCTCTGCTCCTGGCTCATCTCGAAGGTGAGCACCTCCTGCAGCTCCCAGCCGAAGTAGCTGGCATCCGTGAAGGAGCGGATGACATCCAGGAAAATGTTGTAGCCTGGGTAGAGGCTGGTGATGACAGCAAAGGAGCCCCAGTCGTATTCCTCCAGCACCTTGAAGATCACCTGCATTTGTTGCTCAATGGAGACACCCAACTGCAGGAAAGCTGATCCGGGCTCCTGTGGGAGAGAGATCAGGGGCTGCTCTGGCATCATGATCCAGGTCTCCTGCGCCCATGCAAGCCTCCTTGAATTTGCCATCATGAAAAGTTCAAGATTGCCATGAACCAGTGCCGTCCATGGGCTGGAGACACCCAAAATCAGACTAATCCTGCTCCAGAGAACTTCACCCCATGCAAAGTGTCAACTCCTGCAGCCTCACATGCATTTTTTAGGATATTGACCGAAAATTCCTCCATCCTCCAAAGGAGATCATCAGTTTTTCCTTAAATCAGGAGAAGGAGGTGGGCAAGAGCTCTGCCAGGAGCATAAATCCCATCCCTGCTCCATCTCACTACCTGCAGCCAGAGCCTGTGTGGCTCCTTCCCTCCTGCTCCACCTCCCCAGCCATCTGGCCTCTCATTAGCAAACCTTAATTGGTCTGATTCTGTCTTAAATGATTCAGCGAATGGCAGTTTCTGAAGGTCACGTGCAGGCAGCAGGGTTTTGCCACCCAGACCCCCTCCACCTCCAGAGAAGTAGTCTGGGGTGAGCCCCAGGGAATCCCAGACAGGGAGGAGGAGACAGATCCCTCCACTGACCCCTGGAGAAAGCTGCAGAAAATCACCCAGACAGCAAAGCCATGGATATTTTTCCATTGCTCCAGGCTCCATCTGAGCCCTCTACACCCGCCTGAGTCCACTGCACCAAGCAGAGCCCACTGCACTCACTGCCACCCACCCACAGTGAGCTCGAGGTGCTCCACAAGCACCAGAGGATGAGATGGTAGGGATGGGGAAGAGATGTGGGGGTGCAATCCAGGGGGAATGGACCCCAAACCATTATGCAAGAAAAGCAGAAAAGCTGTTCCCTGAAGAAGGGCAGGATCTCCACCCACAGGAAAGATCAAGAGAAACCTCTCCAGCATCCAGGCTGGGCAGGGTGGGATAAGCCTCTATGAGATAACCCAAATCCCCACACCCAGGACCCTCCAGGCTGACTCCAGCTCTCCCAGACACCAGCAGTTCCCAGTAGGCAGGGGACAGTAACTGACAGTGTCTGATGGCAGTGAGGAGCAGAGAAGACAGAAATCCTGTGTCAGCCGTGGTGCACCTGAGATCACGGCCACAGCTGAGCAAGGATTCCTCATGCTGCCCACCCGGCCATTCCCAGGCTGGATCCAGCCTCAACAGGGCAGGAGAAAGGCAAGGTTGTGAGAACCCTTCCACTGCCCCAGTAGCCCCAGTGCCACCAACCCAGCATCCCGTGGTGAGCACAGGAAGCAGCACACCAGGGAAGATCCTTCCATAGAGCATTGAGGTCCTCTCTCACACCCCATTAACAGGGCCCCTTCTTGAAATCCCTGCTATGTCCCACCACCCCTGTCAGCAGCACTGCCACAGCCACTGATCCACCATTCCTGCCCCTGATCCCAAAGGCTGCAGCCCAGCAGTTCCTCTCCCCTCCACTACTCACTCCTCTACTCACCCCGCTCTAACAGTTCCTCACTTCTCTCATGCCCCCTGGAAATACCAAGTGAGTACCTCACCTTTGGGGTCAGGACCACTGCAGACCCGCCACTGATGCTGATGATGGGGACCTGGGTCTGGGACGAGATGAAGTCAAGGATCTGGGCCACAGCCTCCGTGCCCACGTTGTCTTCAAAGACAATGCCGTGGATCTTGTGGCCGGCGAGGATGTCGCAGATCTGGGTGAGGAGGGTGCTGGGGTTGGTGTTGTTGACGACTACAGTGATGGGGTGGATCTCCAGGGGCATGTCCAGGAAGCTCTGGGAGCTCAGGCGGGAGCGGATGTGCAGGGGGTAGGATGTGCCCCCAAACACCACGGCCACGTTGACCACTGGCTCCTCAGGGCCTGGCAGCAGGATGTCTGTGAAGGCAGCCGAGCAGCCCAGCACCATCGACAGTAGCAGAGTGTGTGCCGGCGCTCTGCCCATGTCCACCAGCGTGTCCCTGCCAGCACAGGACACAGCCCCTCGCATCCAGCCACACACCAGGACCCCCAGCCCCACTCGCCCCAGCCCCCTCCACTGCCCTCGGGCATCGTCATTGAGGGTTTACCCCAGGGAACGAGGGGATCCTCATCCCTTGGACACTGGATGTGCAGAAGGAATAACCACAGGGTTGTACTCACCACCCACTGTACACCTCAGTGCTGTGTCACTTGTCTCTACTCTTACCAACCACTGACTCTTCAGAGACAGTCTCTGCTTCCCACCACCACCCTGTCCCCATCTCATCATCACTGCCTCCCTCCCACTGCCCTCCCACCCCATCCAAGAGCCACCACTGCTACACTGGTCCACATCATCCCTTCAGCCAGGGACAGGGATAGCTGCAAGAGGTGCCAGGAGGGGCTGTCAGCTCCTTGGTGCCTCTCTCTGCAGCAGACACCTTCAATATTCAAAAGCTTTGCCCTTGAGGGATAGTTCAGCTCTGCACCCTGCTTGTTGAGATTTTGCAAATTACAGTCACTGAAGTAGCTGGTCCTCTGCCTGTCCCCATGTGTGTCTCCCTCCCATCACCCTACCTCAGCCTCTTCTCTGCCACAAAATCCCAAGCAATGCACCTATCTGGCTCCATATCTCCAAGTTTTCCCTCCAGGTTTTCCATACCAGCCTTCAGCTTTCCTTCTTCTTTACCCCAGTGTGTGTCCCCTGCTGGCGGTGCCAACCCAGATGGGACACCCTTCACACTGTGTCTCTGCTGGCTGCACCCCAAATCCAGGCTCTCAGGGGCTGTTTGGGCACATCCTCTCTGCCAGGTCCCCAGTTCTCCACTGCCAGTGGGTGCTCATGCCACAGCAGTTGGGGTGACAGTCCCTGAAGGGGGACACATCCCTGCCCACAGTCATGCACCCCTGTGCTGGAGTGCACCTCTCAGAGACCACCAGCAAAACCAGCCACCCGTGGCCAGGGGTATCCAAGCCCCTCCGAGCCTCACTTCCCCCAGGGCTGCCACCCTCGTGCCAAGCTGGGCAGCAGGGAGGGTGACAAGCAGCCCTCCATAGTGGCACCAGCCACGCACCAGTGTTGCTTCATGCAGCAAGGTGCCAGCTGGTGCTAAGAAACGTCACTTGCAATTAAAAGCTGCTGTTGCTTAACGTGTCTCCAGCAGAGCCAGATGCTCCTCTCGCTGAGTCCCGGCTGGTTTTGGAGTCTGGGCTGCCCCGGTGACCTGCACCCCAACACTCCTCTGTGCCGCAGTGGCGGACACCCTTTCAGCACACTGCGAAAATGCTGCCAGCATGTTGGACTGAAAATGCGGGATATAAACCCAACAGCTCCTGGGCTGGGCACCCTGCAAGAGCTGCTCGGTGCAGATTCGAGCACTGGGGCTATCACCTCCAGAGAGACAGGGAGCACAAACCACACATTTCCCATGGCTACCAGCAAGTCTCGGGCACCTGTCCAGGCACTGATGCTCAGCAGGCAGCATCTCTCTCAACCAGGTGAGTTTCATCAGGGAATCATCCACCCCCAGCACCCACCATCACCCAGGGGGTTCACCCTACCTGACTGCATCCCCCACCCCACTCCACATCACAGCTGGCAGAGCTGCAGGAGCCACAACGCCACACCGATGGCCGCAGCCAGGGCCCCTTGGCCAGAGAGGGCAGCAGGTGAGTCATGCCATGCTGGCAGTGTCCCATGCTCCGCCACGGCCAGCTCAGTGGCAGGGCAGCCTGCACTGCCTGCTCCTCACTGCGAATTCCCAAGTATTTTTAGTCCTGTGATAAATAATTCATCAGGAATCGGGCATCAGCTACCCAAGCAGAGAGGAAGGGGAGCAACACGCCACCCAAAACAAACAGAACCACCCTGCCAGCAGCGCTGCCCATCCCAGCCCTCCTCAAGGACATTTAAATATACTCTGGGCCCTTCTGGTGATTGATGGGGTTTGCTTGTGCCAGCCCTGGCACCTCACCTACTCCAAGCCCTTATTCTCCTCTTCCTCAACTCAGCTCTTGCCCAAGCTCTGGAATCTCTTCCAGTGCCGAGTAATCCAGGCACAGACTAGTGGTCATCCCTTGTGCTGCCAAGCCCTGTCACCCCCTGCTCCTGGCTGTGACTGGGGACAGGCTTCAGCAATCCGGTTTCCCATGGATGAAGCCACAGGTGGAAAATATCCCCATCCCTCACGGCTGGAACGCAACGGCAGCAGCAGACAGGAGGTGGGCATGGGCTCATCCCATCAGCCAGCACTGAGACAATCAGGGCAATGAATTTCCATCTTTCCCAGGACTCTGGTGCCACCACGCAGAGTCAGGCTGGCTCACCACAGCCTTTGGCGGACACGGAAGAGGACGGAGGGTTTTAAAGCCAGGGGCTTATGGCTGGCCAGGGCTCCATGTGCAGGTTGGAGACAGAGCTGCTCCAAAATGGCCAAATTTGGGAAGCAAAGGGGAACCACCTCCTCCAGCCAACACCATGCATTTTCAGCCCATTGTTTCTCGCACTGAGCTAGAGCAGTTCAGGAGAATTTGGGATTTTTGGGGGGACGACAGATTGCAGGAAAGTAGTGGAGGCTGAGGAGAAACTGAGCCCATCCTGGAGCCCTGGAGATGGGGCTGCTCTTGGGCTCAGCACAACACAGCAAAGCCCCTGCTATCTTCAAAGAAAATCCACATTTTCCCACCACATGTAGGAAGCACTGCAGAACTGGTCCCTCAGGAAAAGACTTTCCCAAAAGGGAGGTTTTCCAGCTGGGTGAAGGGCCAGTGGCCAGTGATGGAAGGTAGCCATGTCCAGGAGCTGGGCAAGGCAGTGCCACCTCCTTGCAGCCTTCCCAAAGACCAGAGGACACCACAGAGAAGCTTGGTGGCTTTGGCACTTGTATTTTGTTGCTTTGGAGTAGTTTTGAGCAGGTTAACCACCTTCCTAGGCATAACTTCCCCTGGTGCACCAAACTCACAGAAACCTCATGCTAAAGGCACCAATAGAACCCCTACCTCTCACCAGACCCTGAAATGTCATTTTAATGCAACAGGGAAACTTTGCTCCTCATTTTATGTCTCCTTTTTTGCCCTTACTCTTCCCCTGCTCCAAGAGAGGGAGAGCTCATGCAGATATTTTGACCTCAGGAATGAGAGAAATAAAATTCCAAAATGCAAAATATCATTCAGGAAAGAGAAACCTTATCTCCCCCCACCACCACCACCAAAAAAAAAAAAGGAAAAAAAGAAAAAAAAAGCTTCCAAGCCTGAAATCAGAGGGAAAAGGCAGCCTGCGCCAGGGGATGGGGAGCTGCTGCTGATGGACGGAAAGAGCAAAGCCAAACCTGGCAGGAGCCATGTGGGGAGGAGAGGGGGCACAGAGGAGGCCACCGGGATATGCCAGGGCTTGTCATTGCCCCCATGGGGACACTCCTGTGGAGCCAGGAGACCTCCATGAAGCCCCTCAGAAAGAGAGAAAGCAGCAAACACAACTCCTCAGCATCCCCGTCCCCATGCAGGGGAGATGACTCGGGAGAGAGAAACACCGGCAGCTCCCGGCAAGCATCGTCTCCTTTCAACCTTCATCCGTCACCAGCCGGCATCACCCTCCTCTTCTTCATCACCCCCCCTTCCTCTCCCACAGCTCGGACAGCAACAGTTGCGGCCCGGGGGCTGCGGGCCGGGGCGATGCTGAGGGCCCCGCACACGCACGCACCGAAACGCAGCTTAAAAAGGTCGAATATGGATTAACCAAAAATAAACGCCAAGTGTCCTGCCTGCCGCTGGGTTACGCAAGGTGGCGGCGGGGGACACAGGGCTGGTGGCACCGAGGGAGGTCTCCTCAATTTTTCCTGCCTCCTGCACCCCCCAAACCCCCCCAGAACAGCGCCCGGGGTTAGGGCTCATTTCCGTCCCACGCCCGGGATGGGGAACAGGAGCTCAGGGGATGCGGGGGGTGGCTGAGGTAGGGGAAGACCCCCACCCCACCCCAGCAGAAACAGCCTCGTCCCTAAAAGTTGCTGGCGGCGGTGGCGGGGCGGCAGCGGAGCCCGTCGGGCCCCGCTTGCCCCCGGCCCGCCCGGTACTTACGGGACCGCCGCTGCTCGGTGCCTACATGCCCC